CGATGACTTATTGATGATTTGCACTCTCATTGTAGAAACTAGTGAGGCCTTATGCTTGACATTGACTATGCTCTTCCATTTATCTCATTCTGTCAACACATTGGTCAAAAGTTGGGTTGTCAATACTTTAATGTAATGAGAAGGTTGAGTAAATACAATCCGGGGAGGGGGGGTACTCGATATATCCTTGGGTGGGGAGGTGCGGCCCGGCCCCTCATACCCTGACCCTGTTTAAGACAAAAATCGCTGATTTTCCTAACCTGTTTAAGATAGACAGAATTCCGATTTTTGATACCCTGTTTAAGACATTTAAGGTGATTCCCTAGTAAAAGAACCTAACGTAGATTGTAGATGAAACTTGGTACACTGATGTAACAAGTCAAGAAGATGATAAAAAGGTAATAAAAAGTGGGGGTCACCGTGCTCGTTTTGACATCACAATGCTGACAAATACGGCTATTTTGGACCCTTTAACAAAAACCACGCGCAGCCCAAAACTAGACAAAAAGGAAAGATTTTTTCAATGATGCATGTGGTATCGCACAGAATTTGACTTTAATGTATTTTTTATCCACTTACGTACCAGAAAAATGCCTTTTAATGCCCTTGTTTTTACTTTACGCTCCAAAGTAGAATTAAATTGGACACGCGCTATTCGACACGTGATAGCTCAATCCGTACACTTTAGTAAAATTGCCAAAAAACTGAACATAGATTTGTGCCAATTTTTTTCTCACCGAAAGGAAGCACTGTCCTTATTAAAATCATGAAATAAAAAATGGGGATCACCTTACTCGTTTTTGCGGTAGAGCTGCAGAAAGTGCGTGCCAAATGCATTTTCCTTGATTTTTAAGAGAGGACTGGGGCGAGTTTCAAAATAGAATGTATGGGAAGGGGGAAGAAAGTATTAAAAATCCGTTTTCACAGAATTAACATCGAGATATTACATTTAGGACACAATGTGATAAAGAAAGCATTTAAATGAAAATCAAAGTGAATAAGCACAAATTAAACGTCCACTATCAAGGTTCTCTGTGAGGAAGTCGAACTCAGCAACACTCTTACTGCTTACATTATGCACATTCCCACCACATTGAGTCTCACCTCGGCAAGAAACAACTGCAAGCAAAAATTGCAATGGCGTTTCTCTTCAGTCAACTTCATTTTAATGATGTTACTTCACATGCTCTTTTTTACGGAGGCCATCTTGTTATGCGCAGTAAGAGATGCGCAGTGCAAAACCAGGGAATCACCTTAACCTGAAAACATACCCTGTGTAAGACAATAATAAATATCGAAACTCTTTCTTATTTAATCCATTGGCAATCACAAAACTATTTGAAAAGATACCCTGTTTAAGACAAAAATTGATAAAATCGATACCCTGATTAAGACAAAAATCCTGAAAAACATACCCTGGCTGGCCGCACATCCCCACTAAGCCCTTATGAGGGAGTACCCCCCCCCTGGAATACAATTAAGAATACATTGTATTGTCTAAAGTTAATGTTTTCAAACAAAAAAAAGACAATAAAGCTTAGTTAACAGTATGACAGTAATTTGCCAGTCACTCTTTCTTATAAAACAACAAGAATTTCTTAGGGGAGGGTCACCAAGATTTTGGGACCCACCCAAAATATTTGGCACCCCAATTTGACCGGACATGTTGGTCCGAGGACACAGATTAAAAAATCCTAGTGCCATCCCCGAAAGACCTTTTTATTTTGTTTGGCAAATTTTTGCCCAATGAACCAATTAATGTACAGTGATTGTGGTGTTCTATTTTTATTTTCTCTAAGTGTACTATTTGTTATGTGTTAGTGTTTGTCAGCTTTTATTAGTGTTTTAAATATACATATACATATGTATATACCGGTAGTTTTAGTGCTATATAAATAAAATATATTATTATTTTGTTATTATTATTATTATTATTATTATTATTATATTAATTATCTTTTGGATGCCTGTATTTTGTGTTTTAATCTACAGTGTCTATTACCAAGAACTGTATAAGTCAATTTCCAGTGAGAAATTCAAGACTGTACCAATTTCAAAAGCTAGTGCCAATAAAAATTAATACCAAAAATTGTTAATCTGCACTAAAAGATTGTTGAATGGCAGAAGATAACACTGCACCACTATTGAAGTAATAAATTACTTACTTTTTCTGTTCCTCTTATAGAATCAGCATTAAAGGAGTTTTAGGATTCCTGTGATGTCCAGGCTGATGGAGGTAAGGAAAAATTTGAACATTTGTTATCTTACTGAGTGTTCAAAACCAAGGTCAGGGCTTCTGATATTTCACGCCGTCGTGGACCCGCGAAATTCAGGTATTTCCGCGAAATACCGCGAAATCCACCAGAAATATTTCCAAATACATGTCGGCAAAACATATTTAATACTTATCTTGGCTATTAGACCTGTTCTTTTCACCCCAAACGTCCAAATTTATCTTGAAACTTCGTCACTGCAAAGAGTAAACAACGTCTCAAAACTACCAGGCGTTCTTAGTCTTCTTAGATGAACGTTGCGAAAAACTGGGCACTAACCATAATGTAAACAGCTTTAGCATTCGCTCATTTCTCGAGCGAACTGTTGTTGAAAGAGTAAATGATTATCCCTGTTAAAAAAACGTTAAACAAATGCTGGTCATATCGACGCAAAATTGATCGATTTTAGCGAAATTTGCCACAAAAATCCAGCGAAATCGGCTGTTTTTTACTGATTGTTTTTTGGCGAAGTTTTCCCCCGAAATTTCCCGTGAAATCGGCCGATTTGTCCCCGAAAATCCTTCGAAATTTGACTTTTTTCCGCTAAAATCCTGCGAAATCGGCCGATTTTTCTGCGAATTTTTACTTTCTCCCGCGAAAATCCCGCGAAATCGGCCGATTTTTAAGCGAATTTTGACTTTTTTCCCTCGAAAATCCCGCGAAATCGGCCGATTTTTCCGCGAATTTGCCCCTGAAAATCCCGCGAAATTTTGCTTTTTTTTGCCGCAAAATATCAGAAGCCCTGCAAGGTTGATTCATAAACACACCACTTGTAATTTTCTGTGCCAGATGCAAGATTTTTCAAATTGCCTTGCCTGCCAGAAATCTATTTACCAAGCCAAACAAAAGTAGAACCTGATTTCAGCCTTAGTCTGGTTAGATACAAGTGATTGCAAAGTCTAAAATCCATATACATTTAAGTTTAGTCAATGCAGGTTTTACATAATTTATGTAACCTTGCTTGTTCCCTGTCTCTTATATTTTTCCCTGTCTCCGGCGTTACCTTCGCCACTTAGCATTACACGATTTTATATTTTGTTTGAGCAAACTATAAATATTATTGAGAGCTTCACTTTTATTCCTGGCTAAATCTATATATCAGCTCTATATTGGTTTTATTTTTAGTCGTGTTTCCAACCATGTTCCATCACTTGTCATCTGAAAGCTTCAATAACCTTTAAAGTAGGCATTTTCATGATTCACTGTTATCATTCATTTTATGGTGAACTCACAAAAGTGCATTACATCAATTCTGTTTGTGAAAACTTCTATAATAATATTGTGATAAGTATACACTTTGTGAACCCTCTTTGTGGTCAGTCCATTTTTGATTGCTAAGGTGTCCCCTTATTGAAGGCAAACCTGGTTTTCAAGACCCTGAAAAATTGTCCCTTTTCCTTGAATAGAGGTGTCCCTTCAATAGAGGTAATAGATACAAAAATTATGTGGAAGTTTTTGTTAGAGCAAATTTTGTGTCTGCTGAATAGAGGTGTCCCAAAGGAGAGGTTCCACTGTATTATGAAAGTGGTTCAATCAATCACATCTCTGAAGTAAATGCAAATGTTCATGTGCACTTCCCAATTGTTGGTTACTGCTACTATTCCACACATATCAATTGAAAAAATTTTGAAGGTCCCCAGTCATGCCAGAGACAGGCAACTGGTCACCTGGCCTGTTAAAGTTGGCAACAATCTCTCTCTCTCTGACTGATTCAAGCGGGCTGGTTGGTGATGCATGTATATGAATCTCCGGGGTTGGCAGGGCTGCAGACTCTGTATTAGGGGAGGACTGATTTGAGCCCTTTTTGTGCTGTCACTTGATTTTCTTAGACAAGAAACTACTTCTCTCCTCACAGTTCTTTGATTTTGTGTTTACTGACGGCAATTACTGCAGGGATGAAAGCTGTGGTGAACTACATGTAGCATCCCATCTTGGTGGGGGTGGGGGGTAAAACTCCCCTTGTGTTTCATGCTCCTAGAATGAAGATAATCTCTGGCTGTGTGAGTGCATTGGCTTGTTTTAAGTGTTAATCTCTATATTGTAATGGAATGCTGAGTGAAAAACTGATAAGTTTCCTTTTCCCTCTCAGGAAGTTAAATGGGCGGTTTTCAGTGTGGTATTCAGTCACAGCAGTTACAAAATAATATTGTTGTTGAGGCACTCCAAGGAATGAACCTCATCTTTGACATTTTTTACTTCTAGGTCATCTCTCCTCTAATCAAAACAGTGGGATTTCCATTATGTACATGTACAGTGTATAATGAACATTGCTGCGCTTAGCCATTAAAAGAGCAATTGAACTTTTTATCAGTATTGTACTGTTTATGTTCAAGAAAATGCTGCTATTATGTTAAATGCTAATTTTGATTAGATATTATTGACCCTGTTGCCACTATGGAGATATACATGTACATGTAATACCACAGGTAGCCCAAGCTTCGGAAAATGAGTATCTGTTTCAAATTGTGTCAGTTATACACTGTCAGTTGAAATATAATGATTAGTTTTGGAAAAAAGGGATACCAGTATAGTTCTGAATTTGTATAAATAATTAAGCTTACCTCACTTTAGCTAAATGTTTGTTAACCTCCTGTATGGTTTACTAGCAGCAGTGATTGGAGGAACAAAGCTTGAGTTTCACAACTTAATTCCAATTTCTATGAACTTACCAGTAGCTAAAAGCCTTTGTTACATGTATGAAGCCCTTTGGTAAATTTGATACTCCTTTTTCAGGATTTGCCGTCCTTTCCTAGCACAGCCTCTACATCACAGGAAGACCATGAAAGCATTTTAGGAACCACTTTCTCCAGGAAATTGAGAGTAACTCTGTTAAGCAGTGAATGGAGATCAACAAAAGGAGGCTTGTCAACCATCAACCGAGAGCTGGCTATTCAGTTGGCTAAGGATCCCCAAATGGATGTCAGTGTTTATCTCCCTCAGTGCAGTCAAGAGGATAAACTAGTTGCTGCAAGTCACAATGTACATCTTATTGAAGCAGAAGAAATGCCAGGTTATGACAACCCAGTAGACTGGTTGTCCTTTCTCCCTGAAAGCCATTCTGTCGATTGTGTGATAGGACATGGGGCTGTTCTTGGTCGGCAAGTGCAGGGTATAAAACGTCAGTGTAAGTGCCAGTGGATTCAGGTCGTTCATACAGCTCCTGAAGAGCTTGGTATGTACAAGTCCTACGCAGATGCTATTTCAAAAGGTGAGAAAAAGCACCAGGCTGAGGTAAAACTCTGTGAAAAAGCTGATCAAGTTGTAGCAGTTGGTCCCAAGCTGGCTGAAGCTTTCTCAGGTTATCTCCGTGCCTGTGGAAAGGATCAAGATGTTCTCAATCTTACCCCAGGCATCTTCTCTGAATTTTCTGAGGTAAATCAAGCCACTGAAGAAAGAAAAACATTCAGTGTTTTAGTGTTTGGACGTGGTGACAATGAAGACTTTCAGCTAAAAGGATATGACATCGCTGCTCGCGCTATTGCCGAGTTGAAAGACGAGCCACAGCCCTATAAGCTGTTGTTTGTTGGAGCTCCAAGTGGAGAAGAGGAGAAAGTGAAAGATTTGTTACTTAAGCAAGGCATTGATCGCAGTCAACTAACTGTGCGTTGTTTCAATGAAAGCAGAGAGCAGTTAGCCCGATTGTTTTGTGAAGTAGATCTTGCTATAATGCCATCACGAACTGAGGGCTTCGGTCTAGCCGCCCTTGAGGCTTTATCTGCTGGTCTGCCTGTGCTGGTCAGTGAGAACTCTGGTCTTGGCGAGGCCTTACAGGAAGTTCCATATGGTTCAAACTGTGTGGTGGAATCAGAAGATCCTAAAGATTGGGCCAATGCAATCAAAGCTGTTCGGAAGAAAAAAAGGAAGCTTCGACTGAGAGAGGCCAAGCTTCTTCAAGGAGAGTATGCAGAGATATACAGCTGGCAGGATCACTGTAATAGACTTGTGGAACGAATGCTTGCCATTTCTCAAGGTAACTGGTTCACTTTTTAATTCAAATTGGTCTTGGTATTGTGTAATCTGCTGGCATTGGGAAATGTAAGTTCACGCAGTTATAACTACAACGTGAGTGAAAACTTCACAACGACAAATTTATCAATCTCTTTTTAATAACTCCACCAGAGAAGTCCACCTACATTTGCCAATTTCTGAGAGTTTCAAAATCGCGATACGTTTCAACGTCTTCTTCCCAACCATGAGGGTCGAAAGTAACGAATTATTCTATTGCTACATTTGCGTTTTTTTTTTATGTAGGTCCCAGTGCAGATGCGCAGAATTTATCTAAGAAAACCACTGTGATCTGTCATGATGAAAAGCCCCCTACAACTGAAAAACATCTTTATAAAGGTACAGTTGAATCTTAGAAACATAAACAATATGTCCACAAGAGAAATTCATTGGTTTCTATGTAGGAAGGACTGGGAGATGTACTTATTCCTTGTGGGGATGTTAAATAACTAAGAAATGGTCGAAGCATTGAACAAGACTCGTTTAAGACTGACTTACAAGGTCAAAACGTTTTCACGCTGGTTACAGGTTAACAATCTTAGATGCCGAGAAATAATACTCGTTTCAGGTTTACGTTTTTCATGCTAAATATGGTAATGGACCACGGCATAAGGAAATTGCATTTTATCAGAGAGGCTTGGTTGTTTTGAATATTGTAGGTTATTTTCAGTGAAATTTTCAGCTTGCGACATCTAAATGCTGGTCATTGTTGGGTGTCGAGGTGATAAGTAACAATAGACCTCTTTAGCTTGTAGGTTTTGTTTTCCAATGCAGGTCATGTGTTAATACTCTAGGGGACTGTTTCTTTCAAATTATATCTTATTCACGTGCAAACATGATCTGCGCATAAAAAGGGACAAAGCGTCTAGTTCCCTCTGGACCTCTATTGAGAAAACAACAATGGATTTCAGAATCCGGGAAACTTTTGCTTGTGGAATCTGGAATTCGGGAATTTTTTTGTGAAATCCGGAATCGTTGGCCTTGGAATTTAACGATTTGAATCCTAAATCCATTATCTGGAATCTGGAATCCCCAATGTGGACTCCAGAATCCAAGTCTTTCTTCTTCTGTGTTTTTGTTTGATTAGTTCAATTCAACAGAGCTTTGCAGCGTCTGGAAATTACAACGTTCAGGGCTTGAACGCGCGACAGGTCTTTTTCAAACTTCTTTAACAGAAAAGCCACATTTATGTAGCTAGTTCGTACAATATTCTATTTAGAAATAATGGTTATGAAGATTGACTATCAGTGTTTATTATTCTATCAAAATATTTCGCCGTTTCTGATTGATTTTTCAAGGATAAGTTATAAAGACCTGAAAAGGAAAACCCGTTCAATGGACATTTTTCAAGAGTCGACTTTTAAAGATTCTTCGTTGATAGAATGGCCACATTTAATAGAATTGCCACATTTATGTGGCTAGTTCGAACAATGTTTTATTTTGAAAAATTGCAAATATAATGGATATAAGGATTGACTATCAGTGTATGTAGGGTAAAGGTAAAAAAAAATATAATATTGGGGAAAAGTACAAAAACAGTATTTGATTGGATTTTAGGCTCGGCAAAGAAACGCCAGTCTTCCAAGAAAGGCAAAAGGCCGTTGTCTTCAAGTAACATTCCAGCTCCAAAGTACCCAAGGCTATTGAAAGATGAAGGTAAGGTTTGTTTTTGTTCAAGTTTGAATAAGGGTTAGTTGTTTCTTTTCATGTATATTGTATATGTACAACCATCTTAGTGGGGAAGATGTTTTTCCGCAGTGTGTGATACAGGCGGCTCGTAAAAAAATTCAAATACTCCCCGAATAGGAGTCGAACCTATGACCTTCTGGTTACTGGTATAGATGCTCTACCACTGAGCTACAGGAGACTGGAGGGAGCGTAGGCCACTAAACTAGGTTCACGTTACAAACATCCTGAAAACTGCTCCAAGGACTATAGGACTAGTATCACACACCGCATCGGAAGTAACACAAAGTGGGTGATTTTGTGTTCCTTGATTGAGGCTTTATAATGCCCGTACGGCCCTGCTTCCGGTTTGAAGTTGGACTCTCACAAGGCTTGAGTCGCTCTCATTCACGCTTGGAGCAGATTGTACGCTTTCCACGTCTGACCCACTCTCCCAATTTCGAAACGTGCTTCAAAACACCCGCAAGCTACAATAAGGCCAATTCAGATTTTGAGCACATTTTGGCCCAAAACGTAGTCAAGTCGCGCTACAGTTGCTTGAGTGAAAGATTATGCATGGTCAACGGTTTAGTTCCTAACTCAGTATTTTTTGTTTGTTTGTTTGTTTGTTTTTTTTGCGTCGCTACCACAAGCGCAGCACAAAAACGTTTCCTCTTGGTTTATTTGTTTGTTTTCAGTTAAGGAATTTTCCATCTGAAGTTTGTTAACTCTGACAAGATAAACGAAGCCTTTTTGAGATTTATGACATTTGCCTAAAGACTTTGATGGATCACCAATGACGTGTTACAAAAGCAAAATCTTTAAGGCGACGTAATTTTACAAAGAATGTGTTTTACGTGTAAATGTGGGAGGAGGGTAAATGTGGCAGTATACTTTAGAACTTTTTGATTGAATCCCAAAATGATAAAGAAGTTAGTTTTTGTGGTGCTGTATCATGCAGTGAGGAAATAAAATACAGAAATTTGGTATTAACAAGAATCGCCGAAAGGCGATTTTTAACTGGGATGCAAAGAGGCTATTTTTTCTGAGGGGAGGGGGCGGCTATACACACTCAGGCTACCATAAAACCTTGTCGGCAACCATTGCATGCGACAGAATCTCATGTGAGACTGAAACATAAACTCATTCAGAACATTGTACCCTTTTGAAAGACTTTCGTAACCAAAAAAAGAGTACCATTTTTAAGTGGGGGCTGTATAATAACTTTTAAATTCCGCCATAATGAATAAAAGTAAACAAGTTAGCCATTAATTCTAAGCAGGAAATGATTAGCATTATTTTCACGCACCCCTCCCCCAATCCCTCTGTGCCCCAAAATATAGCGTGACAGTTTAACGTGACCAATTTGACGTAACCGGAAATTCCAAAAATTTTTGTCGTTCTACGAGCATTAAGTGCGACGGACGGAGCTGATTTACACCAGACAGAAATATTGTATTGTATGAAAACCTGGCCCCAGTTGTTCAAACGTTGGATAGTGCTTTCCACCGGATAAATCACTATCCATCGGATAGCGTAATTGGTTTCCCTAATACTTATCCGCTGGATAGTGATTTATCCGGTGGATAGCGCTCTCCAACGTTTGAACAACTGGGGCCAGAAGTATACTAAAACAGACAGCCAACTGCCCATTCATCCCGCCTGATCCAGGGGCCTCTGACTGCAATGAGACTTTGCTGCGCTTTCCACAAACATGCGAACTCTAAACTTCAAAAGCCACCTTCACAATTGTGTTTTTCGCTGCCGTCAATCATAATTACGATCACAAGCGACGAACCTTGAAACAGAGAAACACAAAACGGACCGAAATCCACAAATCACAAACCATGACCTTTTGAACCCGTGAAGTAAAGTTTTGTTTCCTAAGAGGTCCGTTAAGATAAGATGATTGACAGCAGCGAAAAACGCAATCGTCGGTTGCCTTCTGAACTTCAGAATTCGCATGTTTGTGAAAAGTGCAGTGAATAGACGATCCTAATTTGCGGTCTACATTCTACATCAAAACGCACTATTTTTTCCGCAAGGTAAAAAATATTCAGTTTTAAGATTTTCCTCTTGGCATTTTTCTCTAACTTAAAGGAATAAAATCCTTTGCATTTTGTGACCTAAAAAAGTTTAAAGATTTCTCGCTCGCATGTTGCTTTCATCAGCACGCACTTCAAACAATGTAAATAGATGAAACGATCGACATATTCTTTACCTGATACCGATATGAGTTAAAAATTCGCTCGAGTTCATTGTTTGTCTCACCCATGACTATCTTTTTTTCATGGACGATAACTATGCCGCTTAATAACTCCTCCGAAGTTTTTGTGCCAGCTAAACAATATGGAATCACTATTCACAGTCCTTAAATATATTAGAAAGACTGAACGTGACGCACCATTGTGACTTTGTTTACTTTTGATCACATCTTCAAGCGAAGTCTCTCTTTTAAAGCGATCCATCTCAATGCACAATAATTGACCCTTGTATTAGTTAAAACCCTATGGTTCATTTACTGAGTATATTAATGCTGTTTTTGCCCCTCACATTGACTGTGTTCGTTCGTATTCAAAACACCTTTAGGAAAATAAAGGTCATATAAGTCATGTGTATTATGTTTCGAGATAAATGGATTATACGCTTTTTTAAGTTTCCATTTTGCGGTGACTTCAGTTTACATCTCCATAAAATGGTAGAAGAAATATCAAGAAACATCACGAGAGCTGAAAATTTTCAAAGGCATGTTTCTGGAACTCGCTAATGCTGACATCAATATAGCGTGCTTGCTGAATGGGCGAAAACACAGAATTGTGATCACAAGATCATGTACAAATTTAATGATAAAAGCTTAGCAAGATACAGATACAAACAAAAGCAAACCCCCTGAAACCTCGACGTGGGCTACACTTGTATGCTCTACTCAGTCACCAAACCTTGTCAGTAATAGCTCCTATTTTCCTCAAGTCAAGCCTTGAACTTGTGTGCGAAATTCTCAGAGTTCCTATTTTTGTCCGTGTCTTCTTTATCCTCAGTATCCGAAATTTAGACCTCCAAATTAAATAGAAGGAAATATTTAAAAGAAAAGCCAGTCTTCTAACATGGCAAAGTTGTCACGTCCCTCGCTCATGGACGTGCGGAACATCAGGATTCATCTGACATTCATCGGCAACTAAGTTGTTCGCTTCACTGACTACGACAGCTTACAATCAAGTCTTCAGCCATAGTGTCGTCAACTGGTGAAATAATTTGCTCATAAATTGTGCTTCTTAATTGCTCATGTACTACATCGATCGATAATGCTCTCTTTGAGTTCACGAAGCGGCCCCGACGTTCCAAACCTGACGCTCACAGTCATCTTTTGGTGTGAACCTACCGTGAACGGCGTGTCGGTTTGTATGCAACGTGAGCATTTCTCTGAGTTTCCCAACGCCAACATCATCTAACTGACTTAAACTCGAACAATAAAAAAATTATAGAGTGACTCCTATGATCGAATCGCTTCGAACAACGCAAATAGCCTTCTTCAGTTTCGCAACGCCTTGTGGGTTTTTCAGGGGGGAACGCAGACAAGGTACAGAAAGTATCCGTGCAAGGCTCCGTGCAAGAGAAAATCATATGAAACCATTTGTGAGAACATCGTTTCTCGGTACCAGACCCTCGTGTCTTCCCTCCCCCGGATGGCCGTTTTTCGCCGCAGACGACCGAAAACCGAATTTATGACTGGGCCGCACAGGCAGCCCAGTAACTAATGAGTTAAAAAATTTAGTTCTAGCTCCAGCCGTCCGATAGTTACTGTTCCTTAGCTTTCCTTATTCAACGTTGTCTTGTGAAGCCTATTTGTGCACAGCCAGAAAGAGCAAATAGTGAGTTCACTAACGGTGAACTTACGCAAAAGGAAGCCGAAGGAAAGAAGACAGCAAACCTTGAGTGAGAAGCGTGTCAATAATTTGTTTGAAATTTTTTCCGCCAAACTTCACTTTCCTTTAAACACATCTCAGTTTAAAAGACCAGAATACTTTATTGATAAATGAAAATCTCGACAAAACTTGTAATTGATAACCCATTCACGTTTGTCACACACAAACGTTTTGCCGACATCTTGGTCTTTCTGTCGTTTTTTTGCGTAAGCTCCTTAATTTTAAGGAACGACGGTAAAGATTTTCAGGTGGCGTATATATTTTAACTTACTCACAAGCCACCGAAGGTAGAAAGAATTTTCGGTCATTCTACTGATCAAGTGAATGAGAGGTCAGTATTTTACAAATTAATGAGCAATACCTCCGATCTTCTTTTTCCAGCAGACTCGTACATCTCGGTTGTTGTGAAACTTCTCAAAGCTGAATACAAAAGGCGCTCACAGTTGAGACCACTTCTTTGGGATAGCACCATCGAGCTACCCCTGGATGACGTCTACACAAGACTTAAAATCGTTTCAAGGCGAAAAGCAGACTTCCGGGTGGATGATAACGAGGTGAATGCGTTCGACATCTTCACAGCTCTTGACAAAGGTGAGGATGTTATGACGCTTGTTGAAGGGAGTCCAGGAATCGGTAAAACTACATTTTGCCTTAAACTTGCCTATGACTGGGCACATGGAAAAATCCCAGCGGAGTGTTCTTTTCCCAAATTCGAGATCGTGTTGCTTTTGAAATGTCGAGACATACATGAAGATATAATGGAAACCATCAGTGAACAACTGTTGCCAGAAGATATGGAGGAGAAGACTAAAGAAAGACTATTTGATTTCATTAAGGACTTTCATAACCAGGAGAAAACTTTAATCATTTTGGACGGCTTGGATGAGCTTCCCAAAGATTCCGAACGTTATGTAGATAAACTGCTTCAAAGAAGAATTTTATCATTTTGTTATGTTTTGGCTACCTCCCGACAAGAGAGGGGAATTGATGTACGGAAAAGGTACGGCTTCGATATCCTCTTGGAGATTAAAGGATTCACAGAGAGTGATGCTTTTGATTATATCAGAAAACATTTTAAAAATGTTGGTCCCTTGCATTCATCAAAGGGAGAAAGTCTCATTAAGGAAATAGAAGAAAACACTCTGTTACATGCCCTTCGAAATAATCCGTTAAATTTACTTCTTCTTTGTGTTATTTATGAGGACTATGAGGGGAATTTGCCGTCTTCCCGTTCTGAGCTCTACCAAGTTATTGTACTGTGCCTTTTAAGGAGACTTTGCGTTAAACACAACCTAGAGGCTCCTAAAGAAAACAGTGCCTTAGAGAAACGATTTGAAGAGACCATTCTCGCACTTGGAGAGTTAGCTTGGTTGTGTTTGCTGAGTGATCGCTATTGTTTTCTTGAAAGTGAATTAGCTGCGCTTGAAAGAAGATACAAAGGATTAGTATCTCGTCACGTAGGCCTAGTTTACAAAGAAGAAAGTCTGAGCAGGTTAAAGCCTCAATATGAGTACTACTTTCTTCACAAGACCTTCCAAGAGTACCTGGCTGCCGCCTTTATTGCTCACAAGTTGCGAGGAAACCAGTTAAGGTTGTTTGAGCGTCTTAGTTTTCATGAACTAGTGAAAAAGTATCGAGAAGTGTTTCTTTTTGTTTCTGGTATACTTGGGAGAGATGCAAGCATTTTATTCACTCAGATTGGCGAGGAGCTAAAAAACTGGGGAAAATGGGACTGGGTCCGGTGCACACAGTCTGGAATGGTGACAATGGATGACCGAGAGAGGGAAGATGACTGGTATGACTGTCACAACTACGACGAGGGGGACCAAGGCTGGGAAGCAGCAACTTTCCTTACAAAAAGCATCAGTGAAACTGGACATGCTGAAAAAATGGCAGAGACCTTCTGTTTCTGCTTACCGTTTCCTGCGCATGTTGAGATTACCCTTCCTTCCAGTTATAATATTTATCACGTTTTAGAGGCCTTTAGAAAGTTTTCAAATTTGCAGAAGCCAGTTTGCCTTACGTTTCATGATCGACTCAGGCTGAAAGACAGTGACTATCAGACTGTTGTAGAGTACATACAATTTTGCTCTGAGCTTCAGACTCTTAGCATTTTTACCCTTGCAATGAAATCAGATCTAGCCATAGCCCTACGTAGCGGCTTATCCGGAAACACGACTTTATCAGAGTTTACTCTTGAAGTGTGTGGCAGTATCCCTTGTGACGCAGCTGTTGTCATCGGTGAATTGTTGGCTTCACGTAAATCGTTGAAGAACGTAAAATTTCTACTTCGTAGAGTACACGGCGTAGCTTGGGCCAATACTATTGAAACTGGATTGTCTGCTGACACTCTTTTGTCGTCTGTGAGCCTCAGCGTTCGTGGGTCATTGAGTGATACCGCGGTCCACAGATTAGGAAAGCTGTTATCAAATGAAGCTGTAACCTCATTTTCCCTAAATATTTTTGGGGACATGCAAGACTTCCTAGCTACTATTATCGGTAAAGGAATCGCACAACAACCCGCATTAAAGTCGTTCAATCTTGGCGTCAATGGCGACCTTAGTAATTTTGCTGTTAATGTCCTAGAAAAAGGCCTTTTAGAAAATCGTACTCTAAAGGATTTGAAAATGTCTGTCCGTGGAAGAGTTCCAGACAACTGGCAAGCTCTTCCGGAACGTGTTCGTTTGGGAAATAAGGCGTTAGTTACTTTAAGTGTTTACCCAGGTTCGTGCGGAAGAATAACGCATAATCAATTGGCTTATTTTTGTCCTGGTCTGGATGTGGTCGAGAAAGGCTTTCAGACGAAACAACATTTAACTGTAGTCCATTGGGGTGAGCTGAGTTGTGATGGGGCAGAAGCTCTATTTGAAGCCTTGGTACTTTCCCCACTGACAAGCCTTACTTTAAAAGTGCATGGAAAATTAACTTATACAGTGGCTAATTGCATTGCAAGATATATAAGACGACACAAGACACTTTGCTCCATGACGATTGATGTTTGGGGGGAATTGGACCCAGAAACAGGTGCTATTCTTCAGGGACTGTCGGTTAACCACGTGACTGTCGAGGTAAATGTTCATGACGCCTCTGTCGTCCCCGACGAATCGTGCGATTTCCTTGATGTCTGTATTGACAGTATTGAATCACTTTCATCAGTGCTGAATGCAATCAAGGATACCACAGAGGAAAAGATCAAATTAAAAATCATTAACGACGATGGTGCAAGTAAAGACTGGACACACCTCGTAGGTGATGCTTTGGCAGAAAACAAGACAGTAACCGCGCTCGATGTTACGATCAACAACTTCATAATAAACACGACAGCAGACTTAGGGAATGAACTTGGGGAGAGTTTGTTGCGAAGCTCTTCTCTGACAGTTTTAAATCTCGCAATCAACAACTACAGTAACATGGCAAAAGGCTGGGAATGTAGATTGGTGAACTGCTTGGCCAAGGTGACTTCATTAACTACACTCAGTCTTGCAATTGAAGATCATGGCGCGCAGAGGACAGCAGAAAGTTTGGGTGAGAGTTTGATGGCAATGACTTCATTGACGACACTTTCCGTTGTAATCAATGGCAGTAATTTGGATGAATTCTGGAGTTGCTTTTTGCGAAACTGTTTGGTGGAAAACACTTCATTGTCCATACTCTGTGTTACAGTTAACAACTACAAGAACAACAACGAGAATGAAAACGAGAACGAGAACGAGAACGACAACGATTCGGTTGATTCGTTTTGTTACGTGTCAGCTGTCTCCGATGAGTCTGAATACTGGTATAAAGGTCTGGCTGATGGCTTAGCTCGAGCTGCATCATTAAACGAATTGACTCTGACAATAAACGATGACACCTCTCCTTGTTACTCCTGGATAGAGAGTGTGTTTGAAGGACTGGCAGAAAACGAGACAGTAACTACTCTTACTGTGACAACCAGCAGTGATGACGATTCCCTATTTGGTGAGTTGTGGGCCTCTGAACTGCATAATGGTTTGGCGTTGAACAACTCATTAACTACGGTCACCCTGATAATGAATATTTACTCTGAAGGTGAGCGGCTTGAAGGCTATAACACATACTGGTTTGAAGCGATGAACCATATGAACACATCATTTAGTACACTCAATCTGACCATCAACATCTGCAGAGAAGCCACTGCAGACTGGTTACCCAATATTTGCCGCCTTCTAGAGAAGAGGTCTTCGTTGACAACATTTAGATTGAACGTTAACAACCATTGCGCTACAAAGGAAAGTCGCATATATGACTTTAGTAAACTTCGTTTAAAATGCAGATCACTATCTTCATTTGAACGTACTGTAACTTTCTATGGAGAATAAATCAAGTCAAGTGCCAAATGTTTCAAGAATTTGTTGTGCTTCGAAAATAAGGTACACATTTATACAGAGCAATGATCATTCGGAAAAATTGTCGATCAAAAAGGAAAGCTTACAAATATTCCAACATAAGTCACTAGTAGTTTTAGAGTTTGATAAGTATTGTAACTGATGATTGTGACTTGTATACGCCATCTTGTCCAGTGTGACCAAGGTTAACACAGCATGAGTCACTAGTAGTTTTAAAGTTTGATAAATAGTGTAACTGATGATTGTGACTTGTACACCATCTGGTCCAGTGAGACCAAGGTGAATACAACATGAGTTACTGGTAGTTTTAGAGTTCGATAAATATTGTCACTGATGATTGTGACTTGCAAGACATCTGGTTCGTTGAGACCAAGATGAATACAACATGAGTTACTAGTAGTTTTAGGGCCTGTTTACATGGAGTGGGGGACCCCGGTCTAGTGGGGTTGGTTTCTTTTGTTTTCACGCTCTGGGGGACACAAAACAAAAGATACCTACCCCACTAGACCGGGGTCCCCCACTCCATGTAAACAGGGTCTTAGAGTTTGATAAATATTGTAACTGATTATTGTGTCCTGTGCGCCATCTGGTCCAGTGTGACCAAGGTTAATACAGCGTGAGTTACTTGTAGTTTTAACGGTTGTTTAGTATTGTAACTAACTATTGGTATAGAACATTTATTACAAACAAGCAAAAGAGAACGGTTCAAACTACCTTTAGCATCAAATGCGGTAAATTTGGTTTTTAGAATAATATAGTTAGATTTTAAACTCAACGGAATAAAGTTTAGTGGAGTAAAAAAGTCTAGTATTAAATTCCTTTTTGTAAGGCCGAGGCCAAACGTCAAACTTTTCATGGGACAGAACAAACTTAGTGAGTTAAGTTCATGAAAAGTTCGACGTCTGGCTCACTTAAGTTTGTCTGAATGAATTTGGATCGTCCAACGCGTTTTGTCCGTCTGCTTCAGACGGATAGTCTACAACGTGTGAAGATCGTGTCCGGGACATCCGTCGACCTTCACACCCAACGAGCTAAACTAATAAATGAAAAGGTTGTATGATAATGTATATTTAGCCTCATTTGGGAGAAAAGTTATTAAATTGCATTTTGATCTGTTCGACCCGTCCTTAGTTCGACGTTTGGCCTGACAGTCGATCTTAACTTATTTTAGCTCGACCCAACTTAGAGATTGGTTCGTCTCATGAAAAGTTAGACGTTTGGACTAGGCCTAATTCGGCTTACATTCGTATTCTCATGAGCGATCAGGAACTAGCTTGTAGTCGAGGAACATGCGCCAGAGGAGGGGGGATTCTCCTCTTCAATTCCTGTATGAGCCTCGATTTCTTGCTGGTTCTAGACCATCAAAGAGAATAGGGAAGTGGTGTATTTACCGTGTGAGTTTTATAGTGGCTACATGTGCCTTGGTTTTTCCTCAAAATGTCTTTTTGGGGTGGTTGTTCATTTAATGTTCGTTAACACCCTGAAGTGCCTTTAAAGTATTCACGAACAAATCCTCGCGAAAGTCCTGTTAAGACCACAGTCATTGACCGTTCTCACACTACAGACGGGCTATAAGTCTGAGAAGGGTTATCTATTGGATAATTCGAGTCAAACAGATGATACGTCTTAATTTGAAAATGTAACGGTTTTAATTTTGGATAAACAATGCAATCCGCCTGACTTTGTCCATCTGTTTATCCGTCAATTTTTGACAGATTTTGAAGATGGATTATCCGTCTTAATACGGGTAACAGGGGCAAAGGGAGGATAGAACGAGAACCGCGCGCTACTCTTACAGCACAGTTGTAGGTCACGTGATTGTTAATCGGGAGACTCGGGTTCAAACACGGTTGGACCATCAATCCGGGACAAGGAATGACATCCTGGTGGGTGGGAAAAATACATTTGCTTTAGTATCCTATTTCACAACACTCAATTACTCGCGCTCATTGTTATTAAGATGTGGGAAAATTGATCGAGCGCCCTTGAGGAGGTGGAAACTGTAATCGATTCCCGATCCAAACACGAATTTTTAGCAAAGAAAGGGTTGGGGAGGGTGCGCCGTTCCACCTTCCTCCTTGGTCCTGATCAGAGACTGAGCGGAGAGGGAGTGTTCAACGGCATTTATTATTGCCCCTTGGGATTCAGGGCCCCGTGCACCTGCATACCCTGGTGCATGAGACTTGTTATTTTAATGTTTTGGCTTCGCGCTTCGATTTTGAGTATTGTGAATAGCTTAGATGCGCTCAGCCATGAGCCAGCGATGCTGAGGCATTGGACTTGAATCTTACACCTGTCCAATCTTAGTCGCGGTAATTGACTGGAACTAGCTTACAATCGAGGCTCATTCATCTAATTACCACGCATTAGGCTCTGTTGCATGTTAGTTGCAGTCACCTATTAACAATACGAATGCGGTCTATTTAGTAAAAGCGTAAATAGACTCCGTTTGTCGAAAACAGCATTCGCGATTTGCACATCTCTTGTAATACACCTTGTTTGTCCCCCAAAATTTTGCAGAACTTTTGTTTAATTTCTCCTGGGTATTATAGTCACCTTAAGAAAAATTGAAGACAATGCGCATAGAAAATGTTTGAGGGCAAACAAGGTTTATTATGGGAGATGTGCAAATGGAGGATAGAGCCTCGTCCCGTTTGTCAGGTCTAGCTGTCATTGTGGGTGTGAAAAACGATATCAAAAGGGACGGGTGGGTGTACTTCTTCATCATAAACCACTGTGGTAAAAAACTCAAAGTGGCATTTACAACACGACAACTTCATTTCTTTTATCACCCTCACTACACCCATGTTCGAAAAACAAAAAACAATAAAAAACCATCTCTTGTGTCAGTAGGACTAAAACCTCGCCTATCGCTTTCTGTCATCAGTACTCACAAGGCTTTGTCCTTGGTCCTCTACTGTTTACCGATACTCGATGCGCAGACCACATTGGCTTATTCGTTTTTTTCCAAATCCATTCATAGCATCTAATCACCCATGCCCGTAAAAAACACTTAAAAAAGCCTCGCTTATGTTAGTAAAGCTTAAGCAGAAAGGTAATTGTGGAATAAGGAATTATTTGCGGATGCCAAATCCCAACAGCTGCGCAAGTTTGTATTGTCCATTTTAAGACCTTGTAATCCTTCTTTTAATGACATCTTTATTCTTGCCCTTTTTTTAATTTTAATGTTAGTTCTATCAGGACTGCCTATTATCCCGCAGCTAGCCCGTTCTTAGACGGTCTTCTTAGCCTTCGTAGCAAGAGTATCCGTGGGGTTTCGGGCAAAGAGGGACGAGGAACGAGAGCGCGGAGTTCAGATTGTGGGGACCGAAGCGTGTTTTAGAAAGCGTACACGGGAAAAACGAAGGGAGATTTCCTATCGCTTTTTTTTCCTCGTCATTTTTTCTCCCGCGCTCTTAGGCTCCTGGCTCTGTATTATCCTGTATCCTACTGCGGCAACCAGCGAGAAGTAGGCTGACATGAAGGTCCGCTGCTTTCTTTTGTTTCTTTTCTTTGTTTTTCTGTTTTGTTTTTTTCTTTTCTGTTGCTTGTTATTGTCACTTTTTTGCATTTTGTTGTGTCTTCTTTTCCTATACGTATCACATTAGAATGTAAACAAATTGTTCAATTTTCTCCGCATCCAAGTCCTCTGTCCACTCTTCAGTTATTCCACGCTTGTAATATTTCACGTGACACATCATGTGACAGTGTTTGACCAATGAAATCATCCCTTCATGCCTCTTGCGAAGCCAAGGGAACCGAGGCGGAAGCGCAGTGAAGAGAATCTGTCCAATTTTCGTGAGGAACTTTCAAACTTCTAGCTGTTTTCATCAGTCTTGCAGTCATGGGCTGATTCAATCTTCTCATCAAGCATTTCCTTATGCCGAGCTGCGACGATGTGGAAGCAGGCCTCCACGTGGCTGCATTTTCGTTGCAAGATTCCTGTAGTTTAGGTAAGCAATAAGCAATACTCCTGGGTTCAAACCTTTCACAATAATCTTATTGGATTCATTAAATCTAACTTTCTTGCTGTAAATTCACAAGGCCTCTCCGTTGTTTTTACATTCGAAAAGAAAACTGCAACTTGTAAGTTTTTCTATTAGGCCCTAGGGCATGTGCAAGCAGTGATCTTTCTGCAGTCGAGTACACGAGACATATCGCGTGACTCTGAAGAATTGAAAGGCGTCTTGCATTGTAAATTACAGCAGAACCAGCCATGCATTTTACAGCTTCTAAGTTTTCTGACACCTTATATAAAACGGTCATGTGGCCAGACATTGAAGAGATTTACAATCACGTTTACGGCAGATGCCAGACGTCAGACTCAGGTTGTGAGTTTCTCATAATTATTAGGGAATGAGCAGATGAAAACTGTGAAAAATAAAAATTATATTACTGTTTTCCTCTTATAAGCGCCTGGGCTCTTGTTACAAATTTCGGCTAAAAGGAGACGGGCACTTATTGGGAGAAGGTTTCAATGAATTGTGGCTTTATGTTAGCTAAATTTTTAAAAGAAAAACAAATTATGTAAACGTTAAGACAACATTATTGCCTTTCATCTGTTGAAAGAGTGGTCGGTAATTAAGTGTACCACAGGCCCATTACACACTTAACATGTGTACATGGATTGGTTTGCTTATTTTTGATCTCATTATTGTCATGAAATATTGTTTCTCTCATCAATTAAGTGGAAATAGAAACATGTTTTCCTTGTATCCTAACTATTTAAGAAAGTGAAGGGGTGGGGAGGGGTTCGGAGGGGTAATCCAGATTTCAAGTGACAGGGATGATCAAAGGATTTTTTGAGGTTTGGACATTTTAGACTCCGGGATTTTTTTGGGTAGAAAAAATTGGCGAGTATTTTTTCTGGGTGCTTGATTTAAGAA